CCCATCCCCGGTGATGGTTCGACAAGACACTCAGTTTGTTTTTGTTTTTTTTCATTGGACATGTCTCCCCGTGTTTGATCCGAGGTTGTGATTTCCTTCTCTGTGAAGACGGTCCTTACGCAGACATTGCTGAAGGCGAGCTGATGGGGGGGCTACCATTCTCCCTCTCTGTCTCCCTCTCTGTCTCTCTCTCTGTCTCTCTCTCTCTCTCTCTCTCTCTCTCTCTTTCTCTTTATCTTTCTGTTGATCTTTGGCTTTTGTTGCTCTTTCTCTTTCGCGCGGGCTTGGGGTGGTGATTTGGAGGCCTACTTGGTTTGTAAACTATTTAGCAAGTAGGCTATAACTGGCTATAACTTTATCTGTAAGTCAACCGACCTCTGTCCGACTTGTAACCCTGATTGAATCTATGGAGATCGAAGATCCAAGGACCGCCCCAAACAGGGGGACATCTGGGATAACGAATTGGTGTCATTTGACGGCGCAGGCCGCAGGCTCTAAAGAAGTTGCCAATGCTGGTTTCTTCAAGACGAGCTTCAGGATCTAGATCTAGGAACTTGCTAGGGCTGGTCGTGTGGAGCGGGGCATCAGTGTTGCCAACTGTGACCCTGAGGCCGACCCGTTGTTTGAACTTGTGTCTGCTATTATTTGAATAAACGTCCTTTTGGTTCCCGCAAAGTCGAGCCTGGATATGAATGCTTACGCAAATGTTCCTCCATCTTCAACTAGGACGAGCGCAGGCTTGTTTGTGCCCTTTTCAGATTAGTTTGAAGACAAACCAAAGGAAAACCTCCGTTTTTGGTGGGTTCCATCTGGTTTGACATGCAGACGTTTGGAACATTGGGGTGGTGCTCTGAAAATTCCTTTGTTGTCAGTGGGGAATCAACGCGGGAAGTAGCTGAAGGCGGACTTGGGAGTACTTGAATTACGGAACGTACTTCCAGCCTATTTTTTTTGAATAAGGAACATTACCAGAGCTGATCGCCGCTCATCCTGCTTGTCATTGTCTATTCCAGGACTTTTCATGTGGCTGGGTATGCCAACGGAGGGCTAGGCTCTGGTTGAATTTGCTGAGGCGCAAAGCCTGGTGAGCACTGGTGACCGCTTTTTGGAGCTGAGTTTTTCTTCGGTAGAACGAGCTCATGGCTCTGCAATGCTCTAAATCAGCATATTGACTGCAAGGCCAGGTCAACCTGAAATGTGTTCTTTGGGAGCCCACATGTTTGTCAGAATTGAAAACCAACCAGTTGGATGCAGTTGGGCAGGGAACCTAGACATCCCACTTAACACGGGAAACTTTGCCAGGGATCCTTCTTTTCGGAGATCAGACAATTTTTTGCCCAGGGAAAACAGAAATCGGTTGTTAAAAAAACCGATTGCAAAGATCAGGGAGCCTACCATGAAACACTCGAAATCTCTCCGATCTCACATTTCAGCGAAAATCCAGTTTTCACAGTGGGCTGCTTCCTTTGCTCCTTTGTTGGGAGCGTTTGGGAAATGCCGTATCAACCCCAGTTTATTAATAGGAGTGCTTTTCCCTGAGTGAAGTGTGTGGAATCAGACTACCTTTGGACGGGCCAAAACCACACCCCATGAATCAACTGGTTGGTTGATTAATATGGGGTCAACATAATCCTGAAACACTCGAAATCTCTGTTCCACATTTCAGCGATACATGCAAGGTTTTCACACAGTCGGTTGCCTGCGTTGCTCTCTTTTTGGGAGCGTTTGGGAAATCCCCTTGACCAGCGACGAGCAAAAAAGCGGGTAATGGTGACCCCATATTAATCAATCCCAGTGTATATTATTAATAGGGGGTGCTTTTCCCTGGGTGAAATGTCATGTGGGGATTCAGACCACTTTTGGGGCCAAAACCACCCCCCTATCAATCACAAGTGGGTTGATTTTTTCTATGGGGTGAACATTACCCCTTGACCACCGAGCCACATGGCGTTTTTTGTTTGTTTCCGCGCTGCGGGGAGTTTGGGCACGGCCAGGTCTTAGACTCCATCATGAAGACCATCGGCGAAGCTGTGGCAGTTTTGGCCGGGGTCTCAAAGACCGGAAGTTGTGAGACGTAGACCATACATACAATGTGTGTATGTATGTCGTACATACATACATACATACATACATACATACATACATACATGCATACATACATACATACATACATACATACATACATATACATATATATATATAGACTCCAGGGTTCAACCCCCATTGAAATAATGGCAAGGTCCCAATTTTGGATGATGACAACTCGGTAAACAATGGTGGTCATTTGAACCCCTTTGTTTTCATGGTGTTAGGAACCTGACAGGGGTCCCTTTAGAAGGTGTTAAAAGGAATATGGTCCTATCCAGGAACGTCAGGGTCCATGTTAATTGGTAGGAGGGTATACATATATATATATATATATATGTATCCCAGTGGATCCAAGGCAGCCCCTCATAGTCTGTAACCAGAGTTTTTCCCCACATCTTTGTGTGGGGTTCTTATTTTTACCGCTGCACGCCCGACTCCCGCCGCCGCGCCCGACCCCCGCCGCCGCGCCCGACTCACTCACTCACACACACTCCGCGCCCGACTCCCGCCGCCGCTGCCGCCCCGTCGCTCTCACTCACTCACACACACACTCACTCACACACACTGACTCACTCACACACACTCACTCACACACACTCACTCACACACACACACACTCACTGACACACTCACTCACACACACACTCACTGACACACACTCACTCACTCACACTCAGTCACACTCACTCACTCACTCACCCGCACAAAGTCACTCACTCACACACACTCACTCACACACACTGATTCACACACACTCAGTCACACACACTCACTCACTCACACACACTCACTCACACACACTCACTCACACACACTGACTCACACACACTCACTCACACACGGCTTGCGTTTGCGTGGCAGAGGCAGCAATTGGGAGCTGTTTAAAGGGCTGGGATGTTGTCGCGCGCGCGGCTGTGGGCCCCCATCTCGCGTGGCAGGCGCAGCACTTTGGAGATGCAAGTGCTGAAGTCGTGGCAGGCGCAGTACTTCGTGTACCTGGGCTTGCGTTTGCGTGGCAGGGGCAGCACTTGGGAGCTGTCTAAAGGGCTGGGGTGTTGTCGCGCGCGCGGCTGTGGGCCCCCATCTCGCGTGGCAGGCGCAGCACTTTGGAGATGCAAGTGCTGAAGTCGTGGCAGGCGCAGTACTTCGTGTACCTGGGCTTGCGTTTGCGTGGCAGGGGCAGCATTTGCTAAAGGGCTGGGGTGTTGTCGCGCGCGCGGCTGTGGGCCCCCATCTCGCGTGGCACTCGCAGCACTTTGGAGATGCAAGTGCTGAAATCGTGGCAGGCGCAGTACTTCGTGCACCTGGGCTTGCGTTTGCGTGGCAGGGGCAGCATTTGGGAGCTGTCTAAAGGGCTGGGGTGTTGTCGCGCGCGCGGCTGTGGGCCCCCATCTTGCGTGGCACTCGCAGCACTTTGGAGAGGCAAGTGCTGAAATCGTGGCAGGCGCAGTACTTCGTGCACCTGGGCTTGCGTTTGCGTGGCAGGGGCAGCGTTTGGGAGCTGTCTAAAGGGCTGGGATGTTGTGGCGCGCGCGGCTGTGGGCCCCCATCTCGCGTGGCAGGCGCAGCACTTTGGAGATGCAAGTGCTGAAGTCGTGGCAGGCGCAGTACTTCGTGTACCTGGGCTTGCGTTTGCGTGGCAGGGGCAGCATTTGGAGCTGTCTAAAGGGCTGGGGTGTTGTCGCGCGCGCGGCTGTGGGCCCCCATCTTGCGTGGCACTCGCAGCACTTTGGAGAGGCAAGTGCTGAAATCGTGGCAGGCGCAGTACTTCGTGCACCTGGGCTTGCGTTTGCGTGGCAGGGGCAGCATTTGGCAACTGTCTAAAGGGCTGGGGTGTTGTCGCGCGCACGGCTGTGGGCCCCCATCTTGCGTGGCACTCGCAGCACTTTGGAGAGGCAAGTGCTGAAATCGTGGAAGGCGCAGTACTTCGCGCACCTGGGCTTGCGTTTGCGTGGCAGGGGCAGCGTTTGGGAGCTGTCTAAAGGGCTGGGATGTTGTGGCGCGCTGTGGGCCCTTCTCGCGTGGCAGGCGCAGCACTTTGGAGATGCAAGTGCTGAAGTCGTGGCAGGCGCAGTACTTCGTGCACCTGGGCTTGCGTTTGCGTGGCAGGGGCAGCATTTGGGAGCAGTCTAAAGGGCTGGGGTGTTGTCGCGCGCGCGGCTGTGGGCCCCCATCTTGCGTGGCACTCGCAGCACTTTGGAGAGGCAAGTGCTGAAATCGTGGCAGGCGCAGTACTTCGTGCACCTGGGCTTGCGTTTGCGTGGCAGGGGCAGCGTTTGGGTACTGTCTAAAGGGCTGGGATGTTGTGGTGCGCGCGGCTGTGGGCCCCCATCTCGCGTGGCAGGCACAGCGCTTTGGTGGTGCAAGCGCTGAAGTCGTGGCAGGCGCAGTACTTCGTGTACCTGGGCTTGCGTTTGCGTCGCAGGGGCAGCGTTTGGGAGCTGTCTAAAGGGCTGGGATGTTGTGGCGCGCGCGGCTGTGGGCCGCCATCTCGCGTGGCAGGCGCAGCACTTCGGAGATGCAAGTGCTGAAGTCGTGGCAGGCGCAGTACTTCGTGCACCTGGGCTTGCGTTTGCGTGGCAGGGGCAGCATTTGGGAGCTGTCTAAAGGGCTGGGGTGTTGTCGCGCGCGCGGCTGTGGGCCCCCATTTCACGGCAGGCGCAGCACTTTGGAGATGCAAGTGCTGAAATCCTGGCAGGCGCAGTACTTCGCGCACCTGGGCTTGCGGCAGCGTTTGGGAGCTGTTTAAAGGGCTGGGGTGTTGTCGCGCGCGCGGCTTTGGGCCCCCATCTCGCGTGGCAGGCGCAGCACTTTGGAGATGCAAGTGCTGAAGTCGTGGCAGGCGCAGTACTTCGTGCACCTGGGCTTGCGTTCAGGTGCATGCCTTTGTTTTTTTAAAGCGCGTCCGGTCCATGGCCAGATCCATTGGCAGACACCACCGAAGTTCGCACCGCCCTCCGAAAGGTGCGGAGCACACAGTGGCTGTGCAAGCTGACTTTCCGAGAGACTACCAGCAGGTCTTGGAATTGGAATGCAAGCACTTGGAGCCATTCTTGGAGCCGCAAAAGCCTGCTCTCGGCAAGGGCTGCCCTGTTGCATCTCTGGGTGTGCTCAACGTGGACAACGAACTGGGGATACTTCGCGCAGGGCAACTGGATGCTTCGGCGGCTCGAGTGCTCATTGCCTTCAACGACATCCAGCTCCCCGACGAGGAAGCTCTTCAGCAAGATCCACAGTCGGCCTCGGCCATGCGAGTGAAGCGGTCTGTCGACTGCTTGCTCGCACCCCAGCGGCAAGGCGAGCCAGTTCGGGCGAAGCTACGCGCGGCTGGGCCAGCTTCCGCTGTCAACTGGATCTTGCGGGGCCGTCCGGGAGATGTTCACCAAGTTGTCATCACGCAGACGGAGACCATCGGTGAATGGAGTGCTCTATGGCACGTGCCGGTTGCCATCGAAGCTGTCGCATCTTTCGTCGCCTACTGGCAGTTCATCCTGGATTGCCAGAGAGGCCAGAACGCGCTTCTCTTCCAGGCTGAGTGGACGCCGGGCAAGCGCGTCCGCGCAGTGAGAGACAACATGCCATCCGCGGCCAAGAAGTCCAGCGCTTGGCACAGCCCGTAGCTTTCTGTTTCTCTTCTTGTTTGTTTCATCGCATACGGCCTACTCTTAAACCAACTACGCGACCCAGGAAGGGAAGGTAGTGGTATCGGAGTGGCCGCGAGATAGTGTTGATGTTCGCATCTTTTTGGCTGTCTTACTTTTTTTTGTTTCGTCGCACGCAGCCTACTCCCAAACCAACTACGCGACCCAGGAAGGGAAGGTAGTGGTATCGGAGTAGCCGTGAGATAGCGTTGATGTTCGCATCTTTTTGGGAAGGCTCAGCGCACGCCATCGTCTGCCTGACCCACAAAAAGCCAGCTATGCACTGAGCCATCGACATTTAGCTAGCCAAGCGCGTACACATGCACGAAGCAAAAGTATGCTGCCGTAGCCATCTTGCGTACTAGCTGGAAAACGAAATGCGTTGATGAGTTCCTCAATGACTATGTCGCCCAGTTGGACTGGCAGCCGGTTGCGGGAGATGCTCATCGGCTGGAACGAAAGCCAGCTGACGTGGTTGAAAGAACAGATTGAGGGCGAGCTGACCGCGCGCGCTTGGCTGAAGCGCGGCCAACGGGCTAAACCCGACCTGGCTCCTAGGAGTGGTTCCCCTGGCTCCTTGGAGTGGTCCGAACTCCCAGATGGGCGGCGAGTCACTGTTTACTGTCGCCCCTGTGAGTACAGAATGTCGGCCATGGGAGTCACATAGACACCTCAAGCTTTGTGGCTGGACACTTTCGAGCGATGCTTATTGGTATTGCCGCGATCACACACAGCTGCAAGCGTGACTCAGCGTGACTTTCGAAGACAGGCTGCTTGCGCGCGACCCACTATTGGGGAGGTGCTTTTACCAGAAGAGCTTGGCGCATGCCCAAAAAAAGCATCTGGCCGCATGTCAGGTTGCTTTTACAGCCTGCGATCCTCAATCGATGTAAGTGTGGCGCATCTTCATAAGCATGGACATGTGGGGTTATCCGGTCCTTTAATTCCTTTTGGTTTTTAAAGGCTTCCTTTGGTTACCTACTGTACAAGTAAATGGACCTACTGGGTATATAGTTTGTAAAGGGTGCTCTTGTTGGGGTTGGTTTAAAGAGAAGCCAAAAGGACAACCGCCATTTTTGGGGGCCCCCTAGTCTGACACACCGATATGCTGGGTTGCGCTAGGGGTTCGGCCCAGGGACTCCACAGACGGGGGTAAAGCGAGCCAGAATGATGTCGGTATGTTGTTAAGACAGGAGAACCCAACAAATGCATGGTTTCCTTGTGGTTTCCCAAAAAAACCAACCCAAAGACGCTTCACCCATGTATACTGAACTGGTGTCACCTCAAAACAACCAACCGGGATCTCTGGCTGTGGTGCTGAATTAATCATCCATCGTTGTTCTCCCCTTCAGGAAGCCAGCGTCCGTGGGAACCTAATCGAAGAAGCCAGGGTTAAGATGACCCAATTTCCCATGTCCTCTTGAACAGAATGTGCTTGTTCGGACAGCCTATTCAAGCAACGTGCTGTTGGTTCCCTGGGGCCGACTCAGGTCTGGTTTAAACAAGAATGGCCCAACCAGGACGCCGACCCAAAATCGCAGAACCATTGAATCATTCAAATGGCCTTCCCTGGGAAGGTGATCTTGCTTTTTGGGAGCTGTCCTTTTAGCATCCACGCAAGGAGTTCCGAGTCCGTTTTGTTTTTCTGTTTTGTTTTCTCACTCGGTGGGAAAAAAAGGGTTGGTCGAAGTTTGACCTTCCGTTTGCTTGAGAAGCTGTTTTTTCCCAACAGCTGAAAGCTATGGATTTGGTCTCTGCCCAGGCGCTTGCAAGGGGCGCTGTCAGGGAGGGTTTGGGGGGTTACCACCTCGGCCTATACTTCTCTCTTTTGAAGGGAATCTATCACAGGGCTCCTTAAAAGATACATGTTGCCCATTTGAAACATGGTTTTTCCACCAACCAACATAAAGGGAAACCACCATTTACAAGGCAATGTTCAGGTGTATAATGTAAGGATCCCTGTATCACTGCCATGTTTTCTAATTTTTCTGCCTGATCTCCACTTTGTCAGGGTCATTTCAGCGTTCGGATCGGCGAAAACCGTACATGGAAGCAACCCGAGGTGATTTACATCTTCCTTGTGGCTTTGCCCTTCTTCGGCAAGGAGTTTGAGGCGCTTTTCCGGAAGCAAGAGATGGTTTTGCGGGTTGCATCTGGACCCCAGAAACAAGTTGCTTGAATTAAGCAAAGGGTAACCCTGGTTATTACCCACCTATGAGACTTACGACAAATACTCTTTCAAGCAAACTAGAAACAAAGGGAAATGGACCTGCAATTGCGACCTGAACAATGGGACATCACATAAGCTTAGCCCAATATGCCAATGTGTAAGGGTAGTGTGTTCATGTCCAGGCAAGCGTGTAGTTTCCAGACGCCGATTTAGGATCCGCCGTTTGAAAGCAGGGAGTTGCAACTTGACACAAAAGGAACCCACTCTGGGCAACCCTCGGTGGTATGCTAGCGATCGCTGAGGTCTTCCTTATGGATCTTTCCATTGGGGTCAGCAATGAAACAGCGGTGCATGACATGCACGTGGTGCCAAGAGACTCAGAGGGTCACTGGCTGGCCTATTTCGGACCGGGTCCCAAAATCATCAGATGTTTGACCGACCTGCCTGCCTCTTGTCATCCCAATGACCCGCAACAAGGTGCATGTGGAGGTGTTTATACATGCAACATCTGGTTCAATATGTCGGAAATGGTCAAGCTTTACCATCCACACGACCTGGCGAGCCTGTCATTCATCAACTCACTTTCTGAGTTCCTGGACGTTATGCTTTTTGGGAAGACCATTTTAGTGGTAAATAACAAGTTCAGACTTGTTTTGGCCAATCCACTCAGGAAGGCTGTCAAACTACAGAAGTTTACCGAAAGTTCTATGTCGCGTGGCCCATGTCGATCCCGGATTCCGCACTATTTGCACAAATTGATGGCTCATCTGCTCAGCCATGCTGAAAACCCCTTATGCGGTTGTGACGCACCGTTGTTGTTGGTTGGCCCTGTCTTGCTTTAGCATGCCATGGATGTATTGTCAGTTAGTTGAGCACTCCTTACTTAGACTTATTAATTTTTCCGAATTCCGCAACGCCCCCTTGCTCGGATTCCTGAATTTCGGCTTATAAATCACAGAACAATTTGCCGAGATGTAGTGTTGGCCCGAGCCAACTTTGTGGCCGTGATTCCTCGGGCTTCCAAAAGTTTGGTGTTAGTCCCACGTTTTCATGACGCCATAGAGACGGCATCTGAGATTGGCATGTTCTGAATCTAGCGCAAGAGGTCAGTTATGCTTCTTGCTTTCTGGGCAATAGCTAGTCTGGCATAGCATCCAGGCAGTGGCAGCAGGATTGAGATTCTCAGAAGCAACGGTCTCATCAACCCTTTGCTCGCATAGACGCGTGATTCCATCCCTCAACAGATCTATCGCCATGATCCCCTCAAGGAACCCAGATTTCACCACTGCAGGAAATTCTGGCACATGAACTCAGCCTTGCCCTCTAGGTTTTTTTAGCGCTTGGCTGTAGAACTTCGCATTGCCGCTTTCATATGCCTAGCCGTCATGGGGAAGGGTTTCTCTTTCAAATCAAACACCCTCAAAGTAGGTGCCCTTTTTTCTCCCATGGCTTCCATTTGCCTAAGGATATGTTTATATATATATATATTTTCCCCCTGTTGGTTGTAAAGCCAATCTATCACTATTGGACATCTGTTTATTTTTTCCAGGGGTCTTCACCAAATGGAAGATGGCCACTGGGCTGTTGAGAAGCTTCCCTCCCTTAGGGGAGGATCTTAGCTCTTAGGCAGCTCGAGCAAGGCCAGGCGTTCAAGAAAAAATCGCCGTCGCATCCCCAACCCCGGAAGACCCGTTTGGAACCAAAGCTGCTCCGAACTGGCTTACTTGTTGCTGGGCCCTATGTTGGATGGTTTTAAAGGCGAACTAAACGCAAACCAACCATTTTAGGGGTCACTTGTTTTGAGAAGCACCAGTTTGGGAAAACGAGACCCCAAGCTCTGTGCAGTTGGGGAATAGCTTCTCTCGCGCAGATCGCAAGGTGCAAACGTTCTTGGCCATGCTGGCGGTTGTGATGACGGCACATGCCTAAGAGCGAACAGCTCTCGCATGAGCAGCGCCCAACACCCCCCAAAAGGGCAAGTTGAGTGCTGAGTAGGTGGTTCTGCTACCTGGTTTATGGAGGATTATCGTGAGGCCTACAATAAGCATTGCAGTAGCACCAAAAGTCAATGGGATTTGGGCGCTCACATGGGGTCTATTGGAACTCCCCTCCTGCGATGGCTGCCTTCGGAGCTCACCGAGCCCGGAGTTCATGACCGTTAACCTGTCACTTCGGGGTGACTTTGGTGAAATCACGGTAGCCAAGCGTTCAAACAATTGAGCTTTCATTGGTTTTCTTGGTGAAGTGTGTGGCTGGAACCACAACGAAACTTTCAACTTGAATACCCCTGGGATTTGAACGGATTCTTGTCAATCCAACAGGGGTCGGGAGTCTTTGTCAGCCAGAGTTGAGACTTGTTCCTATTGACCCCGAGAACATGCACCCCGTGGTTTGGTCGGCTCGAGTTCTTTGATTTGTCTATGGTCCATTCGGGGACATAGAGGACTCACCAAAATTTGGTTTCTCATTTTCCTATGTCTTGGGGAGACAATGTCTTGGCGTCACTCATGCATGGGTCAACCTGGTTGTCGTTGGGAAACATTTTACATTTTTGATTGTTGTGGTTTAGTGGTTGAAATCCCCACTTAGCTGCTATTTTTGTTTTCTCCCCTTCCAACGTCAACCAAGTCAAAGGGTTCCTGTGCTGTGTGTTGATGGGTCCGAGGGAAGGGGTCACCGGCCAGTGACTCGGCTCTTGGAAGGAGCACATCCGATCGCGGATATCGGATCAAGACCAACCCCTCTCAACCCAACTTTCCCAAAACAAGCCCCCAACCCCGCCACCTCCCTATTCCTGACCCCAGAGGAG